ATATAGATTTTGACAAGCAGAAAAGACATTATTGTAGCAGTTGTGAAGAAATGAGGAATGAATGAACTAGGAAAGTGTTGGGTACAAATATGAAACCCTAGAAACTTGTACCCCTTAGTGTCTACCCCACTATAGCCTACACAGGCTAAGTCATATATGTCTGACACACCCCCATAGGCAAAGTGGGGGAGAACAAGGGGTCACAAGACCAGTCAAGCAAAGCAAAGCAAGCTCAGGGTGGATCACAACGTCACCACACATTCCGAGCACAAGTTCAACGGCCACAAGGCCAGTTCACATGCAGGATTATAAATCAAGGTGAACAAGCAAGACAGTGATCGCAACCTAGCAAGGGTAAGCATGCAGGTGCAGGTATATATAGATCACAGTACAAGTAAAGTCAAGAGGTAAGCAAGTGAGGCCAGGTAGGCACAAGACCTAACATAGTACAGAACCGCTGATGATCACAAGGCTGAAGTGCCTTGGTAAAGATATCAGCAGTGTTGGCCTGAGAGGCCACGTAAGCAAGGCGCAGCTGGCCACGCTGCTGCAGCTCACGTGCAAGGAAGTAGCGAAGAGCAATGTGCTTCGTTCTGTGCTCCAGTCTGTGCTCCTGACACAAGGCCAGCATGGCCTTGTTGTCTACGTACATCACTGGAGGAGAACGAGGCGGCTCTCCCAGGTCGGTCAGCAGGTAGGTGAGCCAGCGTAACTCCTGTGCAGCCATGGCCCCTGCGTAGATCTCGGCCTCACAGCTGGAGCCGAGAACAGAAGACGAGCGGGTAGACCGCCACGAAACAGAGCCCGAACCAAGGCTGAAGGTGTAACCCTGTGACGACCGCTGAGTAGCCAGGTCGTCAGCCCAAGAGGCGTCTGCGTGACCAGTGAGGACAACTCGAGCCCGTCCTCCAAGCACGAGCCCCATGCCCGACGTACTGCACAAGTAGCGCAACACCCTCTTAGCAGCATCCATGTGCTCCTTCCTGTGTCGGCCAGGAGCAACATAGCGTGCTAGGATGCTAAGAGGGTAGGCTAGGTCAGGTCGAGTGCAGGTCATCAGGTACATGAGGCAGCCCACAAGCTCTGGATACGGGCCACTCGGCTCTACGGACTCATCCGAAGGCAGAGCTGAGAGCGAGTGGCGGGTAGGCAGAGGAGTGGGCTGTGGCGAGGAGTACGTGAAGCGGAAGCGCTGAAGGACCTGCTGCACCATGTGTGACTGAGTCAAGGTAATGGTGCGCTGTGCTCTGTCCCGGGTGATCCGCAAGCCAAGATAGCTTGTCAGCTCACCCAAGTCTGTGCACGTGTGTCTCTTCTGCAGCTCCGACTTCACGTGGGCGAGTGCCTCCGTGTCAGCAGTAGCAAAGACCAGGTCGTCTACGTACACGAGAACGTAGAACGGCGGCAGAGTGGTGTCGGTGCGTAGAAACAGCGACGGGTCAGCAGTAGAAGGAGCAAACCCAAGAGCAGCAAGAGTCGTCCTCAGTGTGTCGTGCCACTCACGGGGTGCCTGGCGGAGACCGTAGACAGGCCGCCGGAGGCTCCACTGGGTACCAGGAGGAAACGACCCAGTGAAGCCAGGTGGGCGGCGCAGCCAGATCTCCTCGTGCAGGCTGCCCTGTAGGAAAGCAGTGCTGAAGTCAAGAGAGTGAAGCTCGTAGTCACGCTGAGCGGCGACGTGCAGCAGAACCCGAAGAGTGGTCATCTTCGGGGTAGGGGAGAAGGTCTGGAAGAAGTCAACTCCCTCACGCTGACTGAAGCCTCGTGCAACGTAACGCGCCTTGAAGATAGGCGGAGAACCCGACGGCCGCTTCACCCTGAAAATCCACATGCCACTGACGATGTTCGCCCCAGGCGGGGGAACCTCGACGACGTAGGTGCCTGTGGACTTCCAAGAAGCCATCTCTGCGTCCATGGCTGACAGCCACTGAGAGGAGTATGGACCCTCTATCGCCTCTGCGTAAGAGCGCGGGGTCGGGATGTCTGGTGCATCCGGGTCTCCCTCAGGGGCAATCAGCATGGACACGAGATGAGATAAAGCAGCGGCAAAGCACTCAAACTCCTCGTGCCTGTCCTCAAGGACGTCCGTGCCAAGAGCACACTCACCCCCGACGGACGGAGGACAGACAGACTCAGACTCAGCAACTAGACTAGCGGCGTAGTCGAGACGACAGTGAGCAGCAAAGTCGACAAGCTCAGCTACAAGAGCCGACGCAGACGTAGTCTCAAAGGAAGGGTCAGTGACAACAGTAGCGAGAAGACGCGTGACAGTAGGACTGGCAGCGCGAGCAAGGTCTGACGGCGGGTCAGGGACGTCAGGAAGAGAGGACGCGGGAGGAGACTGCAGAGGGACACGCTGTGGAGCAGTGGAAGGACGAAGCGACATCCGGTGTGTGCCGGGGACAGCAGGAGGACGCTGACGCGGAACACGACGACCAGTGCGAGCAGCACGAACAGGCGACGCAGAACGAGACTCAGGCGACGCAGGACGAGACTCAGGCTCACGACGCTCCGTAAGACCTCCTGTCGGACCAGTGTAGGGAGAAGGACCAGGGAGTGGCGAGGCAGGCTGTAACTGTGACTGCGACTGGACAGGCAGAGGACAGGCTAAAGAGGGAGTAGGACCAGTAGCAGGCGGGAGACCAAGAACCTGCTGAAAGAGCGGAATGAAGTACGGCTGCGGCCGCGCAGCGCCTCCAGAACCAGCAGAGACAGCACCAGTACCCTCAGCTCCAGGGTCTCCAGCTACAACTCCCGCAGCACCTCCAGTACCTCCAGTACGAGCACCTCCAGGGCCAGCGGCCCCAGCAGCTCCAGCACCAGCAGCACCTCCAGCAGCTCCAGCACCAGCAGAACCTCCAGTAGGTCCAGCACCAGCAGCACCTCCAGCAGCTCCAGCACCAGCAGCACCTCCAGCAGCTCCAGCACCAGCAGCACCTCCAGTAGCTCCAGCACCAGCAGCACCTCCAGCAGCTCCAGCACTAGCAGCACCTCCAGTAGGTCCAGCACCAGCAGCACCTCCAGCAGCTCCAGCACCAACAGCACCTCCAGCAGCACCAGCATCAGCAGCACCTCCAGTAGCTCCAGCACCAGCACCAGGAGCACCTCCAGTAGCCCCAGCACCAGCAGCACCTCCAGCAGTAGGCCCCCTAGCTCCAGCAGCACGGCTACAGCGCCGAGCGTACCACTCACGAAGCTGCCGTGGAGAGAGAGGCTCCCGCCGCAACGGGGCACTCGGAGGACCTCCAGTCTCAGCACCCCCAGACTCAGCAACCCCAGGCTCAGCACCCCCAGGCTCTGCACCCCCAGGCTCCGCACGCTCAGGCTCAGCACCCCCAGACCCAGCACCAGAGTCAACAGCTACCTCGACAGGCTCGACTGCGTCTACCTGGGACACACCTGAGGGGGCAGGACCCTGAGGGGGGAGGGGGTCAACCTGGGGAGGACCTGGCGCGAGGAAGAGCGGCGGGGGGGGGAGGGCGGCAGTGCGGTAGGGGAAGATACGGTAGTAGGGAACCGACTCGTCAAACGTGACGTCCTGAGAGGACAGAACACGGCGCGAGGTGGGGTGGTAAAACCGCCAGCCAGGCGCGTCAGGGGGGAATCCAAGGAAGACGCAGGGAACGGCACGGGAGGACAGCTTATCCGCCGACAAGTCGCGGACGAAAGCTCGAGATCCCCAGACACGGAACGCAGACGCATCGCCAACCTTCCCCGTCCACCGCAGAGTGGGGGAGGTCTCCGGCATGGAGACCCGGGGCTGAAGGTTGATCTGATGCGCCGCGTACTGAACCGCGAACGGCCACAGATAATGGGGAGTAGCCGCATGGATCATGGACGTACGAGCGACATCCATGACCATGCCAATGCGGCGCTCGGCAATCCCATTTTGCTGTGGAGAGGCCGGAAGCGTGAACGTCTGGCGGATGCCCTCCGCCCGACAGTAGGCCTGCAGAAGGTCGGAGGAAAACTCTCCACCTCTGTCTGAGTGCAGACGCACAACAGGAAAGTCCGAGCCGAAACTCTCTCTGAGCTGGAGACGAGCAGCGCGGATCCAGTCGATCAACACCTCAGTGACCTCACCCTTGCGGCGCAAGGGGAAGACTGTGGTGTAACGCGAGTAGTCGTCAACGCCCAGCAGGAAGTAACGCTCGTGACCCTGTCCACGGACGCGGGCTGGGCCCCACACGTCCATGTGAAGAGTCTGCAGTGGGGCCTCTGTTGGAGGAAACTCGGAGGAGTGAGGAGCGGCGCGTTGCCGACCCTCGACGCAGGGAACGCAGGTAGGGGCAGGCCCCGGAGGAAGGGGAGGGAGGGACTCAGGAAGACCCAAGACCAGGACACGGGAGGCCATGCCTCGAAGACGAGGCAGGGAGGGGTGACCAAGGCGGTGGTGCCAAAGAAGAGTCTCGTGGGCCAGGAGGCGACACGAGCAGGGGGCAGACTCAGGGCCAGACCAGGACACTGCAGCAAACACCTGACCCGACGCGGCTACCTGACGAGGAGGAGACTCAGTGGTAAGGGTGTACAGGCTGGACCCTGGCCTACGGGTGAACGTGGCCAGGTGACAACCCGTCCGAGCACACGTGCAGTGCGTCACACGCTGGTGGGCAGGGGTGAACTGGTGAACACCCCCATCCTGAAGATCAGCACCCGCCACCAAGTTCGTAGAGAACGAGGGGAGGTGAAGACCAGACAGCGAGCCGGACGGAACAGCAGGACATGGGAGGACAGTGGAGGAACGGGCCACAACTGGTCCCCCAGAGGGGTCATCCAGAGAGACTGCCACCGGCCGACTGAGCGGCGAGAGGGTGGTGCAGTCGCGAAAGAAGGAGCGGGAGGCACCCGAGTCAAGGGTGAAAGTGTGCAAGACCTGAGCCGACGCGGTACCTGAGAGAGCAGCCTCACCAGCACCTGGAGCAGCAGACTCACTAGCACCTAGAGCAGCAGCCTCACCAGCACCTGGAGCAGCCTCACCAGCACCTGGAGCAGCAGACTTAATGCCCGGGTCGGGCGGAACACACAGGTAACAGTCACCCTCATCACTAATAGACACAGCATACATAGCAGCAAGGATAGCATCATAATCAAGATCAAAGATAGCAACCCCCGACTTAAGCAGAATATCCCAGCGAGGGATCTCCGAGGAGCCAGGGAACTGAGTGCGCCAGGCGTCAGTCAGGCGGCCGAAGCAGCGTGGTGTGGTGTGCGGGCCTCCGCACGTCTCTCCACTGCGGTCGCCGGTGCAAAGAACGTAGGTGCAGGGACCAGCACCCCCAGACCTCCCACGCCCAGCGTACCACTCACGTAGCTGCTGAGGCGACGGGGTCTCACGGGAGCGCTGCTGCTGCTGGCGCTGGCCACCGCTAGAGCCTCCCCGCTGCCCACCACCACCCCCGCCACCCCCACCTCCTCCGCCGCCGCCGCCACCTCCACCCCCACTCCCGCTGCCTCCGCCGCCTCCACCTCCACCGCCGCCACCTAAGCCCCCAGTCCCGCCACCACTCCCACCTCCACCCCCACCCCCTCCTCCTCCTCCTCCACCGCCACTACCGCCGCCCCCGCCGCCCCCTCCACCCCCCTTGCCCCACTTGCCCTTGCTGTTGCGGCGCTTGCCACTAGGGGCAGACGCAGTGCCGACCGACTCGGTGCCATCGAGGTCGACAGCAGCAGCAGAGGCAACAGAAGGCAAAAGAGGGACGGGGGAGCACCCCTCAAAGAAAGGGGCACGGGGGTCACCACGAGAGGCTCCTACAGCGACTATACTCTTCTCAGCTGCAAGGAGGTGCTCCTCGAGGAGGTCAACGGTGAGCGTGGTGGGGCAGAGGGAGAGGAAGTGGTCCCTGACCGAACGGAGGGAGTCAGGGAGCCGGGTGATGAGGTAGTAGAGAGTTATGTACATAGGGGGGGGGTTCTTGGCACAGAACTCGGCAGGAAGCGCAGCGCGGTAGCGGGTGTCACTAGTGCGGAGGTGCGTAATGAGGTCAGCGACTGTGGCAAAAGCGGCTAGGTCAGGGAACAGGTACGGCAGCATGAGGCGGCTAAGGGCAGCAGTGGCAAGGGAGGAGTAGCGTGCAACAACATCAGTGTACAGAGTGCTAGCACTCTTGTACTGACTAAAGTGCGCGCGCTCAGAGGAGGGCAGGTGACTACGCACAGCAAGGCGAGCAGCAGCATCGCGCGTGGTCCAGACCGAGCGAACAGTACTAGCAGCATCAGCAGCAGGGGCAGCAGAGGCACCAGACGTGAGATCGAACAGTGAGAGGCCGTCTTTGCTATCGCACTGCAGGAAAAGCTGCAGATCATTTATCCAGACCTCAAAGTCTACCGCTCGACCCTCAGCATCAAAGGTAAGAACGTTGGGACTAGCCATGACAGCAGCAGCAGCAGGCTAGCAGCAGCAACAGCAGAAGCAGGCTAGCAGTAGCAGCAGCAGGAGGGGCGCGGCTCGGCGGTGCGCTTACCAGGGGCGGGTGGGTAGAAGCCCGCAAGTGGTGGGGCAGGGCCGAGGTGCGTCGGCAGGATCAGGGCCGCGACAGGGCGGCAGGGCAGGGCCGCGACTCGGCTGCAGGGCAGGGCCGGGATGGCGGCGGCGGCTGCCACGGCAGTGGCGGCGGCGGCTGTCTCAGCAGCCAGCGGCGGTAGCTGTCACGGCAGGAGCGGCGGCGGCTGTGACGACAGCAGCGGCGGCGGCTGTCACGGCAGCAGCGGCGGCGGCGAACGGTCGTGGCGGAAGCGGCAGCGGCAGTAGGCGCGACGGCAGCTGCTGCTGGGGCGGCAGCAACGGGGCGGCAGGGCGGCTACGGCGGGCCGCGAAGAGCCGTGGAGGGGGCCGCAAAGGGCCGCGAAGGGCCGCGAAGAGGCCGCGAAGGGCCGAGAGGGGGGCCGCGAAGGGCCGCGAAGGGGCCGCGAAGGGCCGTGAGGGGGCCGCGAAGGGCCTTAAGAGGGGCCGCGGGGCCGCTAAGGGGTCGCGACCGGGACCGCAAAGGGGCCGCGAAGGGGGGCCGCTAAGGGGGGCCGCGAAGTTTTAGGGCAGGACGCGAAGCGCGTTTAGGGCAGGCTAAAAAAAATTTCGAAGGTGGGCCCAAGGAAGAAACGGTCCCACTAGGGAACCCGCTCTATACCATGTGAAGAAATGAGGAATGAATGAACTAGGAAAGTGTTGGGTACAAATATGAAACCCTAGAAACTTGTACCCCTTAGTGTCTACCCCACTATAGCCTACACAGGCTAAGTCATATATGTCTGACAGCAGTAATTCCACATATTGGAGGACCATGATATGGTATTTCCTACGCTGTCCCTTATGCATGTGTTTATTAACTGAGCTCATTGCTGCTGGCTTAATAGAATGTTTAAAAATGTTGCGAGAACTGGTTATTGTTGGATTGAGTGTGTACATATTGTTTTTGTTTGCTCTTTTTTTAAGTAAAATTGACCGTCTCTAGCACACCTTGTCTTACTTCTAAGCTTTAATTGCAAAACAAATATATGATTTTATTTTGCAAACATGATAATGAGAATGCAAACATGTTCCACCAGCTAACTTGTACACATACCACGCGATAGATGATAATGAAATTCATCTAGACGAATGTGAAAGCACAATTTCGGATCTGAATACAAATTGTCGACCACCTCTACAAATGTGCAACACCTATTTTTCACGCGAATCCGTAGCGGATGCAATCACATGCCCATATACCCAAGGCTTTTCTTTCCTCAATCCCAAACCCAAATATCGAACCCACTCTCGTGCAGAAGAAGCATCACATGAGCCAACATTCTAGAGGGAAATTTAGGCAAAGCACGTATTGCCGCTGACTCGTAAGGCAATTCCGGCTGGTGCGACGATGAGCACAAATAGCAGGTTGTTGACTAAGCCGTCACATCCATTTCCGTTCCAAAAAGCGACCGAAAGCATCCCTCAGAACAATTATCTAGCATGCTTGTACAAAGGGGGAAGCTGCAGGAGTGTTCTAGGATAGCTCGAGCATTCATTTTATGGGAATGATGATTTAAACATTGTCCGTGCATAGGTCGGCAGTGTCTCCCCCTGTTGATTGTATTCATTAGAATCATGAACAGGTTTGGGCGTGCCTTGACCGTTTCAAGCACTGTGAAATTGCACATTACAATCTATTAACTGGCAATGCAGATAAACACATACATAATAAAAAACTAGAAATAAGAGACATCATGAATGCCATATCCCAGAATTTGCCTATAGAAACCTACAAGAGTGAGAGATAAAATACAACAGTAGTTCAAACAGCCTGGAAAGACACCAGGATCCAAACAGAGTCATATATGAGGTTTAAGTTATAACATGATGCACAAGCTTATGGTTCCAACCCACTCTAGGGCCCCCGTCCACCGGAATGTGGGCGAGGTCTCTGGCTCAAAGACACGGGGCCAGAGGTTGAGCTGATGCGCAGCGTATCGGACCGCAAACGTCCACAGGAAATGGGGAGCAGTCGTATGGATCATGGAGGTATGAGCAACCTCCATGATCAAGCCAATCCGACGCTCAGAAATCCCATTTTGCTGAGGAGAGGCCGGAAGCGTGAACGTGTGGCGGATGCCCTCGTCTCGACAGAACTCCGCAAGGAGGTAAGAAGAGAACTCACCGCCCCTGTCAGAGTCCAGACGCAGGACTGGGAAGTCCTGACGAAACCGCTCGCGCAGCTGGCGACGAGTAGCACGGATCCAGGGGATCAAAACATCGCTGACGTCCGCCTTGCGCCGCAAGGGGAAGACAGTGGTGTAGCGTGTGTAGTCGTCAACAACCAGCAGGAAGTAGCGCTCCTGGTCCGTTCCACCGACGGGGGCCGGGCCCCAAACGTCCATGTGGAGAGTCTGCAGAGGAGCAGTGGTCGGAGGAAACTCGGAGGAGTGAGGAGCGGCGCGCCGCCGCCCCTCAACGTAGGGAAGGCACGGCGGGCAGGCGAGCGCAGGAGGGAGGGCAGGGACCTGGGAAGGCCAGAGACAAGGAGACGGGAGTGCATGTTGCAGAGACGCGGCAGGGAGGGGTGACCGAGGCGGTGGTGCCAGAGGAGAGTCTGATGGGAGAGTACCCGACATGAGCAAGACGCTGCAAGCTGACCAGACGCAGACACCTGACTCGACGCAGCCACCTGACCTGACTCAACCACCTGTGCAGACGCAGTGGTCACTGTGTACAGACTAGAACCAGGCGGTCGAGTGAACGTAGCAAGGAGACGGCCAGTCCGGGAGCACGTACAGATCGCCACACGCTGCCCTCCAGGAATAAAGGTATCAACCCAGACATCCTGAATGGCAGCGTTGTCAGAATAGTGAAGGAATGAATGACTGAACTAGCAAGCAGGTGGGTACAAGTAGGAAACCTAAAAGTGTTGTACCCTATATGAACTACCCCACTACAGCCTACACAGACTATAGCATATAAGTTTGACACACCCCCATAGGCAAAGTGGGGGAGAACAAGAGGTCACAAGACCGGTCAAGAAAGGCAAAGCAAGCTCAGGGTGGATCACGACGTCACCACGCATTCTCAGCACAAGCAAATGGCAACAAGGCCAGTTCACATGCAGAGTTATATAAAGGAGAACAAGCAATACAGTGATCACAACCTAGCAAGTGTAAGCATGCAGGTATATGTATAGAGATCACAGTACAAGCAGAGTCAAGAAGTAAGTAAGTGAGGCACAGTAGGCACAAGGCCTAGAACAGTACAGAAACGCTGATGATCACAAGGCTGAAGCCCCTTGGTGAAGACATCAGCAGTGTTGGCCCGAGTGGCCACGTAAGCAAGACGAAGCTGACCACGCTGCTGCAACTCTCGAGCAAGGAAGTAGCGCAGAGCGATGTGCTTTGTTTTGTGCTCCAGTCTGTGCTCCTGACACAAGGCAATCATGGCCTTGTTGTCGACGTACATCACTGGAGGAGAACGAGGCGGCTCTCCCAGGTCGATCAGCAGGTAGGTGAGCCAGCGTAACTCCTGTGCAGCCATGGCCCCTGCGTAGATCTCAGCCTCACAACTGGAGCTGAGAACAGAAGACGAGCGGGTAGACCGCCAAGAAACAGAGCCGGAGCCAAGGCTGAAGGTGTAACCCTGTGACGACCGCTGCGTAGCCAAGTCGTCAGCCCAAGAAGCGTCTGCATGACCAGTGAGGACAACTCGAGCCCGTCCTCCAAGCATGAGCCCCATGCCCGACGTACTGCACAAGTAGCGCAACACCCTCTTAGCAGCATCCATGTGCTCCTTCCTGTGTCGGCCAGGAGCGACATAGCGTGCTAGGATGCCAAGAGGGTAGGCAAGGTCAGGTCGAGTGCAGGTCATCAGGTACATGAGGCAGCCCACAAGCTCTGGATACAGGCCACTCGGCTCTACAGACTCGTCCGAAGGTGGAGCTGAGAGCGAGTGACCGGTAGGCAGAGGAGTGGACTGTGGTGAGGAGTATGTGAAGCCGAAGCGCTGAAGGACCTGCTGCACCATGTGTGACTGAGTCAAGGAAATGGTGCGCTGTGCTCTGTCCCGGGTGATCCGCATGCCAAGATAGCTTGTCAGCTCACCCAGGTCTGTGCACGTGTGTCTCTTCTGCAGCTCCGACTTCACGTGGGCGAGTCCCTCAGTGTCA